TAATGGGGAGGCAGAGGGAAGAGCTCGAGGGACTGCGAGCCCAGAGAAGCCCGGGAGGGGTGAGAGGTGAGGACGAGGAAAAAGGCCATTCGGGACTTTGAAACGGATGGGAAGCCTTGGAGAGTTTTCAGAAAAGGGGAAAGGAGACCCAGCTTGGATTCTAAAAGGATTGTTCTGGCTACTGTGTGCACGTGGACCGTGATGAGGGTAACAGTCGCACAGATTGCCATCTGGAGGCTGGTCGGCTGCGCACACCATAGACAGTGATGGCTTGGACCAGGTGACAGCACAGGACAGGAGAAGCCAGGAGACTCTGTCCCGGATCTGAAGGGGGAGCCAGGAGAATTTGCTCCTGGACTATGTGTGCAAGAGAGTGGAGGCTCCAAGCTCATTCTCAGCTGTTCCGCCCAAGCACATGGAACAGAGTCATGCTGTACTTTGACGGGTAAGACAGGAGGATGTTATAAAACGGCCTTGAACAAATGGGTAATGAGGAGTGGCTTTGAGACGCTCAGTACCAAACAAAGGTATTTTCATTCTTATGGGAAAATAATAGTCTGGTTAAACCCAATATCAGATTACCCAAGGCACTGGCCTCATGGTGTCCAACAGCAGGCGACATTGAGCAGATTGAAGCCTTGAAGGAGCAGCACCCGACGTGTTACCAGCTAAGTCTTCAAGTTACGATCCATAGAAAGAAAAAATCCCAAACAGTTTGGACCCAACAGGAGCATGTATTCATCTTGTAAATTAAATCCTCTAAGTCTGGGGTTTAATGGCCACGTAAGAATTCGTTTTAAAGGGAGAACGGGACTATTATCGCATGCCTGAGATACAGAAACCTTCTTGCTTAGTTTTCCTGCCTCCCCTGCCTTGCTTCCCTCCTAAGAGCCACGAGTCACTTAATCAAGGAGCCCTTTTCCAGGCTCTGCTTCTCGGGAGCCTGACTTGAGACACATAAACACACAGACAGCCTTACCAGGGGTTTAGAGATCCGATCGCCTAAGAAAGCAGGCACATAGAGATGAACAAAGAAGGTAAAAATCACCTTAGCCCCACCATCCACCGATGGGTACTACCAACATGTTTTAGGCATCGGATGTCTTTTGCATGTGTAACAACGGGTATGGGATTAACTGACAACACCCAGCTGTGCTATTCTGCACTAAACAACAAAGCTTAGACCCCCTTGTCTGCCATCAGCCTTTTCTAAAGCTTCATTTATAAGGCCTGCATAGAATTCTATGATTTGGGAGATCGAAATAGCAATTGGGGTCACCCTCCCTTCTCAGCTGTAGATAAGATTGGCTCGAAATCCCATGTAATAGACAGTAGAAAGTTCACTGCCCCCAGCAGGATTTCTGTAAATTACTAGGGGTGTTATTTTCTTACCATCAATCTGGACTCTGTGTTCAGGCTTCCATTCAATTATTTCTCTCTGGCAGTCTTCTTACTGTCTCCCACAAGGTCTCCTTGTCTGCATCGCACTGACCTAGATAGGAATTCTAGGTATTTTCCTTAATAGAAATATCACAGAAGGCATTTCTGTGCATGACTAAAGATTTGGGAGGACGAGAGGCTCCCCTTGCTGTCCCAAAGATGCCCTCATGCTAACGTTGGGCATCACTGGCCTTAAAACATTTCTTGGGGGAGGGATTTTCAGTTGGTACTTTTATTTCTCAGCATTGATGGCTCTCTCTTCCCTTCACCTCCATTTCTGCCCTTTTCCTCTCCAACACAAAATGGAGTTTCTCCCTTTTATTTCCAGAAACATTTCAGTTTTTGGCAGCACCTTGCCCTGGAGCTGAGCTGGGGTCCTTTCTTTGAACGTTCTCTGAGTTGGAAGAGAATCCTTCCATTTTCCCTTCTTATTGAGGTGAGGGGGTTGCTTTTTCCATTTACGTAATTCTTCTAATGTTCCAGTATTTAAAATGCTTCCCCTTCTTTGCCAACACAAGTAACTCTATGGCAAGTATGTATGTGGCTCAGTCCGTGTCCCCATTTCGAATCATTCTAGGTGCCTAGAATGAGAATTTCTGTGGAACGAGTACGAAGGAGGTCATATTTATTGGCAACCTGCTTTCTGGAAAAGCTGTACCCCCTTACACCACCACTAGTAGTGTAGGAGAAGACCCTCGTCTTCTCTGGGCGTTCTCAACCTGCTCCAATTTTACCTCTCTGATATCTGAGAGCATTATCTCACTTCTTAATTGTCGTTTCTTTAGTTGCTACTGTGTCTTGAGTACTTTTCCCCAAGTGTGGAGAGAATATGAATTTCTCTTTTTCTGAGCTGCCCTTTGGTCTCCTGGCAGCTCTGCTTTTGAATTTAATTATTTTCTTATTAATTTTTAGGAGTTATCTGCATCCTTAGGCCACTAACAAGCTCATGATCAACATTTTATCTTTCAGCCTGTTGCGTGTCTGGTAGTTTTCAAGCCTGCAAATGTGTAACAGTTTTAACGTCAGGGGTTATCCTCTCCTTCCTGCTTGCTGACTTTTTGGTGTGGTCTGTGGTCTCTGAGGTGGCCGATGGTCCCTGCTCCCTGGCCCCTGTGTATGGCCCCCCAATTGCATGTGGGCTAAACAGCAGATTTGCCTCTGATGAGCAGAGCACATAGGGTGACTGGGTGTCATTTCTGAGATTCAATGACAAAACAACTGTGGCTTCTCTCCTGGGTGCATGCTCTCTCTCTCTCTTTCTTTTCCCCCTTCCCTCTCTCAGGGGAACCCAGGGGAAGCTCTGTGGACAGGTCCACATGAATGAATTGGGAGTCATCCTCCCCCAAGGACCCTGGAGATGCCCGGAGCTCACCTGATACCCTGGTCAGGTGGCATCTTGAGGGAACCTGAGTCTGGCCCGCCAGACCAAGCCACTCCAGCCCCCAGTCCACAGAGAGCGAGACCATCTGTGCTTGCTGTTTCCCGATGCCAAATTTCTGGAGCAATTTTTTACATATTGATAGATAACTAGGACTGTGGATACCTTGGCAATTCTTAAAGCTCAACATTTTTTGAAACCCAGTTATCTTTCATCCTAATTCTCTTATACCCCAGAGCACATGGGAGTCATTCACAACAGCCCATCCTAAGTCTCTTTACCCTGCCTATTCTCTTCCTTCCTGTGGAAGCCATGATACAGGCTCTCGCCCGTGCTTTGCTCTCACTCCCTCTGGCTTCTAAGAGACCCCGGTGCTTTCCCATGGTGCCCCGTGTGCATGGCGTGGCATGACCCCTCCTCTTGGGGTCTGTGAGTATAACAACCCATCTCGGGAAGCCAGGGTGGCTCAGTTGGTTAAGCATCTGCTTTCAGCTCAGGTCATGATCCCAGTGTCCAGGGTCTGCTTTCTGCTCAGCGGGGAATCTTCTTCTCCCTCTCCCTCTGCCTGTTGCTCTGCCTGCTTGGGCTCTCTCTCACTGTCTGTCAAATAAATAAATAAATAAATATATTAAATATATGTATATATGTATATTCTATATGTATATGTACATATAGAATATACATATATATGTATACATAAAATATATATAGAATATACACATATACATATACTTATATATAGAATATACATATACATTCTATACATACAGAATATATGTATATTATATATACAACACATACATACATATACATTCTATATACATATATGTATATAGAAAATACATATATATAGAATATACATATATACTGTATATACTATATATACTATATATATGTATATTAACTCGAAATGGATAAAAGACCTCAACATGAGGCAGCAATCCATCAGAATCAGAATCCTAGAGGAGAACATAGGCAGTAACGTCTTCGACTTCTTTCAATATATGTCTCCAAAGGCAAAAGAAACAAGTGAAAATGAACTTTTGGGACTTCATCAAGATGAAAAGCTTTGGCACAGCAAAGTAAACAGTCAACAAAACAAAGAGGCAAACCACGGAATGGGAGAAGATATTCGCAAATGACAATACAGACAGAGGGCTGATATCCAAGATCTGTAAAGAACTCCTCAAACTCAACACATACAAAACAGATAATCATGTCAAAAAAATGCACAGAAGACATGAACAGACACTTCTCCAAAGGAGACATACAAATGGCTAACAGACACAAGAAAAAATGTTCATCATCACTAGCCATCATGGAGATTCAAATCAAAACCACATTGAGATACCACCTTACACCAGTTAGAATGGCCAAAATTAGCAAGACAGGAAACAACATGTGTTGGAGGGGATGTGGAGAAAGGGGAACTCTACTTACACTGTTGGTGGGAATGCAAGTTGGTGCAGCCACTTTGGAAAACAGTGTAGAAATTCCTTAAGAAATTAAAAATAGAGCTACCCTATGACCCTGCAATTGAACTAATGGGTATTTACCCCAAAGATACAGATGTAGTGAAAAGAAGGGCCATCTGTACCCCAATGTTCATAGCAGTAATAGTTCATAATCACCAAACTGTGGAAAGAACCAAGATGCCCTTCAACAGATGAATGGATAAGGAAGATGTGGTCCATATACACTATGGAGTATTATGCCTCCATCAGAAAGGATGAATACCCAACTTTTGTAGCAACATGGATGGGACTGGAAGAGATTATGCTGAGTGAAATAAGTCAAGCATAGAGAGTCAATCATCATATGGTTTTGCTTATTTGTGGAGCATAAGGAATAACACGGAGGACATGGGGAGCTGGAGAGGGGAAGGGAGTTGGGGGAAATTGGAGGGGGAGATGAAGGATGAGGGGCTGTGGTCTCTGAGAAACAAACCGAGGGTTTTGGAGGGGAGGTGGTGGGGGGGTTGGGTGAGCCTGGTGGTGGGTGTTGAGGAGGGCACATATTTCATGGAGCACTGGGTGTGGTACATAAACTATGAATTCAGGAACACTGAAAAGAAATTTAAAAAATAAATAAAAACTTAAAAAATGTGTATATATATGTGTGTGTGTGTGTGTATATATATATACATATGTATATATATATATATATATATATATATAATAACCCATCTTTTCAATGAGCCCTCTCTTGATCTATTGGCCTCACAATGGCTGAATAACAACATCCATATTTTAAAACATACGTACAAATGTGTAACCCTGTACGTATGTATAGAGTTACTCTATTACACATACATGCATATATGCTCATATGTACACACACATATGCAGTTACATAGACACAACACATATATAAAATATACAGAGTTGCCCTCGCTTTTCATAATATTACTCTGGTAAGGTTGCTTTGGACAAGGAATTACACTAACTTTTTGTATCCTCAATGCCTGTTATGCTAACTGATTGGAAAAACTGGGAAAAAAGGACAGTTGGGGAGTATGAGGTATACTTTTCCGACTCTTCCTGGGTGGTGATAGGCCCATTCGCAAGCTGTATTTCTGTAATCACATTACTCATGGACATCAGGAGATGCTCCGTGGAGTCACGCTGTGGGTGTCGGAGAAGGGCCTCACTGCTCCAGACTGGGAAGTCACCTTGCTATCACTGTAGATCATGGCAGGCTTTTTCAGTAGAATTTATAGTGTTTCTCTTACGGGCAGTTGCCAGTCACACCTTTTGGGCTCACCATGAAATGACACTGCACGGTCGTTACCATCATTCAACATTTATGGGCCGCACAGCAGGACGATGGGACCCTGAGGTACAGCTCTGGGCTGAGATGCATCAGCCCGGAGCAATGCAGCCTTCTGGCTGTGATGAAGGCAGTCTTCCACGAAAATCGCATGGGTGGTAAAACTTAAGAGAGGAGATTAAAAAGCAGACATGTTAAAAAAAAATTACCCTGACATATTGCATTTCCCCCCCAAAAAACTAAGCCCCTGATGATGTATTTTCGACCACTTCACTAATCCTACAGGAAATTCTCCTCTTCTATAGCTTTAATAAGGACAAAGGAGGCAAAACCAAATTAGAAATAAGGAAGGACTGAGATGATCACTCAGGAGCAGCGAGGGGTGTGACAGAGTCAGATAGAAGTGAAATGAGTCACAGCAGAGAGAAGTGGCCAGAGAAAGCGCGGGCTGAGGGGAAACTGGGTTGGCTCAGAAGGGGAACTGGATGGATTCCGCCCAGGTCGAAGGGGTCTTGGGAGCCTGTCGGGAGCGCCATCCGGAAAGCCACACCTGCCACACGGGGCTTCGGCAGGGCTGTCTTGGAAGGGGCTAAGCTGGGACTTAGGGGGACCTCGGACCCACGGGGCACAGCAGGATAGCCTGTGGAGAGGTCACTGCCCTCTCTCTCTGCAGGGTAGTGCAAGGCTAGAGAGAGCTTTGGGATCAGAAAATCAGACTTTTATAACTGCCTCGCTAGCCGGCTGAACGGTTTGGGGGCACCCGTTGACCTCCTGGAAAGATTCATTTTATTGGAAAAATGGGATCCATAATAGGAATTCAAAGCTTACACATTAAAGAAGGTGGCTGTGAAATTGTTAAAGGAGAAACTCTACGCTAAATTCTGTAAATGGAGAAGAACTACACAAGCCGAGAGTAAGGGAGGTCCAGAGATGCGCAGGGTGGGGTGAGAAGAGCCACAGTGACAGCCAGACCTGGCGGCGTGTCGGCATCTGAATCTTCATGTTACCCAGACTCCCCAGTGAGTCCCGTGCACACTGGGCACTGAGAAACCGTCTCTCAAATCACCTCAGTGGACAGGAGATGCTCACCTAACTTCCCATGCTCAAAACTTTCTTGAGCTCCTATGTTTATGAAATTCTTCTCAATGCCTGGAGATACACTCACCTCTGACCAAAATTCAGAAGAAAAACTTTTTAACATAAATGCAAATGTAAGGGATAAGTTTAGCATAAAAGTATACTTTTTTCCCTCCAATTCAGGAGTGGCAAAAATAGAGATCGTACAGTGTGGAAGGCGGGATCTGACTTGGAGTCCTGGATCTTTCCCTCATCTCATCAGGCCAATGGCTCAAACCCACTAAACTCAGGCATCAAATGGGACAGATAATCATCCTAGTTTTCCAAGAATGCTAAGATTAAAGGACCTGTCGTATATGAAAGTGATTCGTAAGCTATTAGTAACAGGCACCCATTGTGACTTTGTTTTTCCAGGCTTGGAAATGGTTGAAGCTGTCTAAACCTGTGTATCCTAACAGGTAAAATGAGCGCCCATCATTCTCGAAACACTGACTCCTGACAATGAAGTTACATGTGTCTCCAAATAAACCGCCCATGGGGGATAGTTTTTCCAGACCACAATGACAAAAAAGGAAAGGTGCCTTCTCCATAGTGGAGACTACAGATGTTATCTTCTGAAAACGGCGAATGTCGAAATAGATTATATTTGCTTTTGCTTTTAGTGCTTGGATTGAAACAACTGTGAGGTCCAATTCTAGCGGCCACTCATGTTCATGGTATTAGTAATCTTTTATTTATGACAGATGCCGTTCTGTTCGACTTCATAACACACAGGGCTGCACACCAATTACTTCTGTCATTTTATGGCTTGGCCTCTGTTTTGCTTTTGCCTTTACTTTAACCCTACTCATCTCTTTCTGCTTTATAATCTTTCTCCTTATAAGCTATCGTAATGCCCTTTCAGAAAGAGAAGAATAAGTAAAGATAACTAGGTACATCAAAATACTATTCATAAGAAAGTTACATTTAAGTGTACATTATATGTCTAAATCATAGATACCCATATATATGCACATTATAAAGATTTTTAAATGCATTTTATGATGGGAGCAAACAGAGACTCTTGAGTAATATAATAACCACACATCACAGTTGTCCTTGGTCTTGTTAAAGACATAAGATGTAATTGTTAAAAGTCAAGTTTTGAACATGGTGTTTTCAGAGATCAATAATATTTTCCTTTTATTCTTAGCAATTTTCTAATAAAGTGGGAATGAAGAACAACCACGTGAGTGGCTAACACAAACAAACCCCTTTGGTCTCTAGAGATTTATTTGAAACATTGCCTCGTTTTCCTAGGCAAATGTAGCCTAGTACAGAAAAATGTCTGAAATGCCCAGAGGTGATGGCATGTACACAAAGGGTTTGAAACAAAACCAAATGACTGATTACAGAGATTTTGACTTTGGAACAAACAGGATCTCAGTTGCAAAGTGGCCTCCACAGTTGAGGTTTAAGCACAGTTAAGAGAGGCCTGACCCTGGTTGAGAATCCCGCCGGCCCCCGGGCAGGAGATGGTTTTTCCACGAGTCCCATGGCTGTGAAATGCTTTCAGGAGGAATTTCTACCCGCCCCGGTCTCCTGATTTTGAAAGAACAGAAAATCAAAGGATCAGAAAACGTGGGGGTTTGGGAGTTTCCAGTCTTTGTCCGGCTCTCCACCGTTGTCCAGTGGAACCTTTTCTTCCTCACCTCCCCTTGAGGTGCCTCATGACTTTGCAACGCATGGAAAAGCCATTGTCTTCACTCACGCTGATTACCAGGAATTGCCTGTCATGTGTTAATTCCAAGTCTCCCAAACATTTCTGTTGTTAAATATGTTCTTTTTATTTTTGGAAGAAAAGAATTTGTTGCTAAGACATTTCAGCTAGCATGAAAGTAAGAGGGTTTTTTTGTTTTTTGTTTTTTAAAGATTTTATTTATTTATTTGACAGAGATCACAAGTAGGCAGAGAGACAGGCAGAGAGAGAGAAGGAAGCAGGCTCCCCGCGGAGCAGAGAGCCCCATGTGGGGCTTGATCCCAGGACCCGGAGATCATGACCTGAGCCGAAGGCAGAGGCTTAACCCACTGAGCCACCCAGGCGCCCCTTGTTTTGCTTTTTATAGGAGGATGATACTCTTCCCTAAGACAGTAACCACGGACAAGCCGCCGGAGACCGCACCTGCTCGCTTTTTTTCACCGCTGCATTAGAAGGAGGAAGCGGACTCCGGAAGGGAGCAGAATGCCCAGACAGCTCTGCTGGGTCCCTTTACTTTTCCTTCTGTGGCAGCTTTCCTAAAACGACCCTCCCCTGCTGCCCCTCCGGTTCCCCTGAGAACCACCTCCTCGGAGGCCGCTCCTCTACCCGGGACTTTCCCTTCGCAGTCGTGCGCCCTAGCAACTGCACTGTCACGTCCGGGCGTTCCCTTCCTGCGTCTCCACTTCGGCAGTTTCTCGGGTTTCTGACCTGACCAGAGAGCGCAAGGAGAGTACATTTAAGTGCCGGAGATCCCTATGCAGGGTCTGGAAAAAGATCGGAGAGACCCTCATGGACGAACTTCTAAGGTTATCTAACACCCTAAGATCATGGCGGAGGCTGGCTGGGGCAGGAGAACTCGAGATATTTAAGAATAAATATAGAAAATGTTTGCCTTTTAAATTCCAGAAGAGAAATTTGAATATAAGAGTTGAATACAAGATTTTTATATATAAGTATCAATGTAAATATAAAATTTGAATATAAGATGGTAATGATCAGAAACAATGTATCTTGTTGAACAAAGTTTAAACGCTGTAAGAATTTTTTAAAAACCCACAAGGAGAAACTAAAAGCTGTTTTGGCTATTAGTAAATACTATTAATTAAAACAGCTTCAATGAATGTCTTACCTTGTCTAATTAGCTTGAAGTACCGTAATAATTACATAAATCTCTAGGTCTGTCAGATCCAGCTTTTTGAAAGTGTTTATTGCAATAATAAAGTCTCTCTCTCTCTCTCTCTCTATATATATATATATATATATATATATATATATATATATATATATTTAGAACTGTTGGAATTGTAATAAGGTTCCATGATCTTATCCTGGTCATTGAATCATAACTTTAAAAGTATTTAGCTAACACTAATGAGAAATGGCAAAGGGCCACGCTGTCTGTCCTGTGTAGATTAGCAACAACCAGTGTCAGGGCAGAATGAATATGGCGTCAGCCTTTAAGCTGACTTCATAAAGTTGGACATGGGATCAGTTTCAGTGTGATGGTACTGATCTGGGAAGAAAGTTTTACTAGAAATGGAAACAAGGCTCAGAGTCTTATGTCCAGAAATGCATTTCATTTTAGGTCAGCATCTAAAGAGTCTCAATGAAAAGAGGAGTAATTAAATTGGAATCAAAGTCTGTGTGACCTTAAAGCCTGGAAGGGAC